TATTTATATTTTACTCTCTCTAGATTCACCATGATTTTCTTCTTTCCATAATCTATTCTCCCTAATCATCAAATCCAAAAATCACAATTTCTTTCTTTTTCCAGAAAAAGATCCATAAGCAAGAAGCAATTCAATTCTTCAACCATACCTTAGTGGGCTATGCTTACAAATACAGTCATCATGTATCTAGCAATAGATTATAGGAGTCAAGTACTTTATACATTGATCCTTGAGGAGTGAAACTACTAGTCTCCCGTCTTACATATTTAGAGATCATATCATCCAGCCAATCTTTCTCAAGACATGAGAGTTAACTTGGTTAAAAAAAATTCCAAGATTCTCTGAATCAGGGGTTGCCAACCTTTTGGATCTCAGGGACCACCAAACTCATAATTTTAAATCCCGTGGACCAGACACCCTGAGAAAATCCCCAAAAAAGTCTGCAGGAAAATTCCCCACCCAGTTTTCCTACTGATCGATCATTCTTTATTTTGGATTGCAGGATACCATCTCCAGCTTTGTTCTTAGGGGGAGAGAGAGGGAGAGAGACTTTTGGCTTCATGCAAGGAAAGCAGCAGAAACAACAGAAGTCTTTCTTTCTCTACCACAAATTTTGCCAGAAATGAGTCTTTGCTGGCACAGCCTCTCGGAGCCGGATGCCTTGCAGGGTCCCAAAGACACATTTCTGGTGGAGTTTGGGGGAGAGAAAGAAACTTTTGCTGCTTTCCTTGCGTGCAGCCAAAAGCAGAAGAAGAAAGAAGCGGAAAGAAGCAGCTCGATGGCCAGGCGAGGCATGTGGGGCAAGTTCCCCCCTCCATCCTTTCCCCCCTCCCCTCACTACCTTGTGTTATTCACAATGCAATCGATGCAAGCCTTGTGATCCCATGGGCCATGTGGGTGGTGCAGCCTTGTGTTCCCGCGCAGCCTGGAATAATTGCTTTGAGGGGTGCTTTGGGGATGCCATTTCTCTGCAGACCACTAACATTTTCTTGCAGACCACCAGTGGTCCCTGGCCCACTGGTTGGCGACCACTACTCTGAATGATGAATTCAGCTCTTTTTTATTCAATTCTTGTCTCACACAATAAAAATGTCAGCATTTATAAAACACATAGGCTTTGAGCATATATTGCATTATTTGTTTATATAAATTCTTTGTGTCCTGGTAGGACTTTATCAAATCTTAGTACTGAACCAACTATCTTATTATTTTATATGTTCTAAGTATTATAGGATTGTAAATGATTGGTGTTTCAAAGGGCTCTCCCTCTGGACTTAACAGCTTGCTTTTGATAATATACATTATTTTGTTTCCAGAGGATCACCCTGGATGTTTACTTCAAAGTCATGCCCTAACTCTATACTCTCAGTGCTGTTATCTGTAAATTTTAGTAAGTCTTCTACAATATCTTGATTACAAAACCAAAACTCTAGCTTCAATAACTGAATTTTTCTTGTCCTGTTTTTGTTCTATAGTCTTTCAGAGGAATTTCACTCATATTCTCAAACTTAACTCTTCTAATAATACTGCTATTTGCTTTTCTCGCCAAGTCTGGAATATTTTCCATTCGCTCTATGGCATTATTCCAGGGGAATTATATGTGGAAAGAATAGCCAGCATTGCAGTTGGCATTTCTCCCCTACAGTGTCTCTGGAACAATCCTGCTGTGTTGTAGCACAATTCTTAAGAAGGTATTCTAGGAAAAAGCAAGATGGTAGCCCCAGTATGTCCCTCCCAAGTCCTGCTGTACTGCCTCATCATAATGGGTAGAGGGTATTTATGGGAAGGATGAGCAAAGAACATATTCCAAGCAGTATTATCCAAGAGATGAGGGTCATCCCACATATGCCCAGTTAAAACAAGCAGACACATATATTTCTGTATATTTTCCAAGAAAATCACATGGAAAGAAAATATAAAATTATTGACAATATATTGCTGAATGAAGGGGCCCTCAAGTTAGATCACACTTTACATGCTACTGAGGAAGAGATGAGGATCTTTTCGAATACTAACAGTATTTATGATGTACCTAGATTAAAACTTTGGGACATCTAGTTGCTGACATTGCCATACAGAAAAAAAAATCCAAAGCTGCAAACACAAAATTACAGTAGGAACATGAAACATAAGAAGCATTAACCACGGAAAGCTCAATACAGAAAAGAGGAAGTGAAACAATGATAAATTGACTTCTTAGGCATCAGTGAATCTTTATTAGTATTATTTAGGGTATGAAAAACAAAGAAGCATTTTTGCTTTTATTAGTTAGGAAGGGTATAGCAAGAACAGACTTCACTACAAAGCAATTAATGACTGAATAGTAATCGACTAATTCATGAACAATCCTTTATCCTACAGATAATTCAAATGTAGGCTGTAATGCTCTACAGATGACAGAAGATCTGCATCTATGATCAACTTCATTTTGAAGTTGATATAAGATGCTGTTTCTCATTGGAGACTGGAATGCTGAAGTTGGAAACACAAAAGAGAAAATATAGTTGGACTGTATGGTTTTAAAAAAACAAAATGCAGCAGGGGACCAATTTATCCATGTCTGCTACTCCAGTGATTTCTTCATAACTAACGTAGTCTTCAAACAATCAAAATTAATCCTCTATACATGGATGCGGTCAGATAGAGTATATAGAAATCAAATTGAATATATTATTGCTTAAAAGAAAGATAAAGTAGCTCAATTATATGGCCAGATGCTGACTTTCCTGATCCTAAAAGCGTTTTGCTTTGTTAGTTAGGAAGGGTATAGCAAGAACAGTATTTCACCTTTCTGATTCTACTGTTAATGCTTTATTTTGTGTGTCAAGAACTGCAATGGGTTTGTTGTTTTCTGCTCATTTTTCAGGTCATTTTTTTTGTGCAGTTCTCTTCTCTCTTATTTTATGTTTCTTGTATTTCTACAGTATGTATTTCTACGGCCTTGCGGCTCTACTACTTTCTGCCTTTATTCATTCTTCAAGTGTCTTTTTTCTTCTATGAGCACCAATTTTCTCCCTAAAAATGGGAGATTTTATGTTTTATTCTACTCCTGCAAGCAGTTCTTTATTCTGGATTCTTCTTTTGTATTTCTTCATTAGATTTCATTGCTAATCTCTCTTTCTATGGCTAGTTTGAAGATATTTTGCAGAATAATGTAAGAAAAGACAAGTTTCCTCATTTAACCAAGTGGGATCAGAGGTGGAGAACTGGAGAACTGGTAGCGGAAATTTTGAGTAGTTCGGAGAACTGGCAAATACCACCTCTGACTGGAGATTTTACAGTATCCTGTAAAGTCTGTCTGTCTGTCTGTCTGTCTGTCTATCTATCTATCTATCTATCTATCTATCTATCTATCTATCTATCTATCTATCTATCTATCTATCT